CACTGTGTTGATGCGGACACTACACGGATATGGTTTGTGTAGTGTTTTTTTCTATCATTACACGGAACCTACATCATATAGCAATCGCGTTGTCTCCACAGCTATTAAAACAGAACATACATCAAAGGAAAAAAATCTACTTGGTGAAAAGTTTACCGAAGGCGAAGGACTTACTCCCAATACTCCTGGTTACTCTTGAAGTCAACCGCGCACGTCACGTCGATGGTGTCCTGAGTGAAGCCGTTGGTCAACTGAAGCTCAAGGGTGTAGAACCTGTCGGGTCCCTGATCCTGTGGCATCGTCAGGGAAAGCGTCCCTTCGATCTCGCTGAAGGAGAGCTTCCTAAAGGTCATCTCGAGGTTTCCGGAACCCACGGTCGTGCCCCAGCCCAGAATCAGTTTGTACGGAATTCTTCGCCTGTGAGGGGAGGAGGGTGTGCGTTATCCACATAGTGTGTTATCGGAGAGGCACTTCTACAAGTTTGGGTTTTTCGGTAATAACAGTCTACGAATTTGAAGTTTAGCCATGTTTAGCAGTGAAAAGCTAATATCAAATTTATCCACCTTTTATCTGCAAATACACGATCTTTAGCATATCGAAGTGTAAATAACACATTTAAAAAAGTAAAAAATACTAGCCCATAATCTAATAACGTTTACTACATTCACACCAAAGTCCCAACCCTTTCACAAAATGTACCCAAAGAAAAAAAAAGGTGATCAAAACCCAACAGAGCCTTTCTCCTCTTGATCTGACCTCAATTCGACGTTGAACTTGACCTCCTGGAAGCCCTGGTGCGGGGTCGTCACGTGGAAGGTGAGCTTGAAGGGCTGGCGGCGCGTGTTGGTGAGCCCCGTCTGGAGGGTGTAGCGCGACTCCTGGGACCCCGACTGGCGCGACACCTGGTGGGAGGGGCGGGAGGTTAAAGGATGGCGGCATTTCAGCTTTTGGGGTTTGACTGGTGAAATTGGGAGGTAAAATCACGGCGGAATTGGGTTTTCGAGGTTGGAATGGCGAAAGCGGGAGGTAAAATGATGGCGGAATTTCGGTTTTTGCGGTTAGAATGGTGAAAGGGGGAGGTAAAATGACGGCCGTTTTGAGGTCAGAATGGAGAGAGTGGGAGGTAAAATCACGACGGAATTAGGGTTTCCAGGATAGAATGGTGAAAGCGGGAGGTAAAAAGACAGCGGAATTTCGGTTTCCGAGGTTAGACTGATGGAATTGGTTGGATAAATGATGGCGCAATTGAGGTTTTTGAGTACTGATATTGAGAGGTTAAATAATGGGTGAGTTAGGGTTTCGAGGTTAGAATGGTGAACGTGGGAGGTAAAATTGTGGCGGCATTTCGGTTTCTAAGGCCAGAATGGTGAAATTAGGTAAAATGACGGCCAAATTATGGCTTTTGAGGTCAGGATGGTGAAACTGGGTAAAATGACGGCGGAATTTCGGTTTAGAGGTTAGAATGGCAAAATTGGGAGGTAAAATGATGGCGGCATTATGGGTTTGAGGTTAACATGGCAAAATTGTGAGGTAAATGAAATGAATGAAATAAAATGAATAAATATGAACACCAAAATATAAATGAATCAAATAAATTAAAATAAACGAAATAAATTGAATGAATGTGAACACCCAAATATAAATGAATTAAATAAATTAGATAAACAAAATAAACGAAACAAATCCCCACCCACCTCGACATTGACGTCCCACTCGTCGTCGCTTTGGTACTTCCAGAAGAGCGTGCCCTGGTAGACCCTCCCGGCGCCCTCCAACACCAGCTGGTTCCTGTAGCCGCCTTGCTGGGCCTTCCCCTCCAGGCGAAGGGCTGAGCGTTCCAGGTCCTCCCACGGCGTCTCCAGCGTGCCGTCGAACTGATCGGGAGGATCGAGGGGGGGGGGGGGGGATTGGTCATGTGTGCTTTGCTTGGGGGCGTGGAAGCGGATATGCATGCAAACATGCACAGACAGGTACAGGCTCACACGCACTCACACACTCACACGGACACAGGCTCTCGCGCACACGCACACGAACACGCAGACACACACCCACCCACACACACACACACACACATATACGCACACAAAAAATCCATATATCCCTCTAAAATGGATCCAACATGCCCTAACATTACCATCAATCTATAAATAGCATCAAATAAAAATAAAAAATAAACACCCACATCCCTTGAAAAAAGAAACCCCCAAAGTAGTTTTTTTTTATTTTTTTTAAGTATAAAAATTAAAAAAAAAATAGAAAACAAAAAAAGTTTAGAGAAGTAAAAAAAAAAAAAAGTAAAAAGAGCCTATTACCATCTGGATGAACTGATCCTGGAACTTGATGGTGGCGTCGAGTTTGATGTCCTTCTCGCCCCAGCCGAAGTTGGCCGCCAGATGGGACTTCACGACGTCGAGGGCAGTCAGCTTCCACATAAAGCTGCCGGTCCTGAAGGAAGGTGAGGGCGAGTTTGAAGGTCATTTGTCGAGAGTTTGGTGCGGTTGAAGGTGGTGATGATGATGGTGATGATGATGGTGGTGATGATGATGGTGATGATGATGGTGATGGTGGTGATGATGATGATGGTGGTGATGTTGCCTGGTGGTGATTTTGCTAAGAATGGTGGCGATCGTAGTTGTGATGTTTTTTTAAAGTGGATTTGAACGTTTTCTTTTTCTTGAGTTTTTTGATAAATACGAGTTTTCTTTCGATAACTATATTTAGGTTTGTCAGGGATTATTCAATTTCTAAAAAAATAAAGTAACAACGTACAGGAAACTAAACATGAGTCAAGTGAATTTACAAATTACTAAATAAATCTAAAATCAAATATAAAAAAAATCAAATGAAAAATAACGAAAGTACAAAATCCTTCCATCTTAACATAAGTCAAATAAACAAAATGCAGCAGTGAAATACGTATTCATTGTAATACAAGTCAAATACAGTAACGCAATACGTATCAACAACCCGGCGCCGATCACCGTACCGGAAGGGTTCGAAGGGCGAGGAGAAGGACCCACTGAGGTTCCTGGTGGTCCCTCTGGCCTGGAACTGGAACACGCCGCCCTTCGTGGTGCTGAGCCGGCCGTTGAAGTGGCCCTCCTCGTCCACGGTCGGCAGGCTGTACTCGCACATGAAGTCCAGGTTTTCGTACCCTTCTACGGGCGTGTCCATCGCCACCTGCAGCTCTCCGGCGTCGACGCGAGGGAAGCTCCCCATCACAGAGAGCTGGTGGAAATGGTGGAAATGGTTAGCGTATGTTAGAACTTAACAAGTGGTCTTTTATTAAGAGGTCCTGGACCGACGTCGCCCTCTAGGTATATTAGGCTATTAATTACGGCTCTAAAATCTGGGGGCGCCGTAAAAACTGTAAGAATCAGAATCAGTATTTTTCTTAAAGTGTGTCAGAATAGCAAGTTTCGTTAGCCTAGGAAACCGTTAGTTGAAATTGCTACCTTTTGCGAGGGAATTATCTATTCTTTGTATTATATGTTGGGCGGCCATTAAAAAGGTTCTCCCTGCCCTTCAGATACTCTCACGCTTGCTCTTAGAAAAATCTTCATGTGATACGGACAAATTATAAATATTCTTAACCACGTCATCTCCCCCTTTCTATTGCCTCCACACACACACATACCTTGGTCGTGACATCAGTCTGGGAGGAGAAAGTGAGGTTGACCTCGGCCGCCGGTTCCCAGAAGATGGAGCCAACCGCCTCCAGGGTCGCGTCGCTTAGCCGTTCGTCCAGTGACTGAAGGGGCAACACCGCCTTCGCCTGCCCCTGCAGCCCGTTGCCCTTCATCTGCAAGACGTGAGAGGTTTGTCAAGAAATATCGGTATTATAACGAGGCCATTATTGATATCTTTATTTTTTCGTATTTCACGTCATGAGCTTTGGTCTAATCCTTTAAAAAATAAAGTAATAAAAAGCGGTAGATCAAACAATTAAATAAAAAAGAAAAATAAAATAAAATAATAAATACTAACCAAAAAAAAAAAAAAAATCAGTAATACACAAAAAAGTAACATAATAAATACTAAAAAAAAAATATATTGCACACGAGACCGAAAACCAGAGTCGATCTACCTCCGTTTCCAGACTGAGCCTGACTTGCTTGGTGGGACCGTACTTCATGGTGAGGTCGTACTTGACCTCCGAGGACGTGGTGTTGTCGCAGAGGTCGAGGACGACTGTGTGCAGCTCTGGCAAGGGCGTGTAGAGTTCGAAGGCGATGCGCAGGCGGGGAAGCTGCCCTTGCTCGTAGCTGGCGCCGAGGCCATACTGAGAGGAATCGAACAAGTGTTAGCAGAACATTTAGTACATAGTCTCTTAAGAAACGAACGCGTGATAAAGTTATAAAGTAGTTGATACTATTTTTCGACTTGAAATATAAATTTTGCCGGGTCAGTAAATGTGTTTTGTACTTTTTTATTTGATTTGTGTATGAGTGTGTATGTGTGTGTGTGTGTGTGTGTGTGTGTGTGTGTGTGTGTGTGTGTGTGTGTGTGTGTGTGTGTGTGTGGTGTGTGTGCGTGCGTGTGCGTGTGCGTGTGCGTGTGCGTGTGTATGTGTGTGTGTGTGTGTGTGTGTGTGTGTGGTGTGTGTGCGTGTGCGTGTGCGTGTGCGTGTGCGTGTGCGTGTGCGTGTGCGTGTGCGTGTGTGTGCGTGTGCGTGTGCGTGTGTGGGTGCGTGTATGCGTGTGCGTGTGCGTATGTACATGTAGCAACGACGTCTAGCATACCTTCCTCTCCCCGATCTGGCCATAGATCCTCGGATTGACCCGTACCTCAGGATCAAGTGTAAACAAGTTCCTGACCTCGCCTGTAATAACCTGCAACAAAAAACATTCAACATTTACGTACATATGTGACCACAATGGATATTCAGCGTCACGAGGGAAAAAAGATACATCCTTGTGAATTTTATACTGTTGATATATCGAGGGATTGAGAAAATTGGTTCCCTTCCGCCAAACCTTCCTTTTCCTAATGCTGTTTAAAAAATGAACCAAAATATCCTCAAATATATCTTTTGCGATCAGCTTTACGTTAATCTGATCTTTAAAATCATTAAACACATTAGATCATTGTACATTGCACATACAAAAGAAAATCTGATTAACTGTCTCTCTTCTCTACTTTAATTCATCTTTTAGAACTACACGGAATAGCATAAAACAAATAATAACTCAAATCTCTCTCCCTTCTCTACTCCAAAATAAGAGAAAAAAAGAAAAGAAAAACTCGAAATAGCCCCACGCCCCCGCCTGACCTCGTATCCCGGGAAGGGCGTGAGGATGGTGCAGCTGACGAGGAAGTCCGAAAGCGAGGTCACTTGGCCGAGGACGACGAAGCCGGCGTCAACCTTGTCGTTCCACTTGACCCGCGCCTCCGTCTGGAAAAATAAGGAGGGGGATAAGGAGTTATATGGTTTCGATTTAATGTTGGTTCGTATTTTTTTCCTTTTTTTTAATCTATTTATTCTTCCCTTTTCTCTCTCTCCTTATTCTTATTCTCTATCTCTCTCTTTCTGTCTTTTTTTCTTTCCCCTTACCTCAATATGCTTCCCCTCACCTTAATATACTTCCCCTCTGCTTACTTTGCTTCCCTCCACCTAAATATACTTCCCCTCACCTCAATAAGTTTCCCCTCACCTTAATATGCTTCCCTTACCTCAATACGTTTCCCCTCACCTCCATAAACTCCCCCTCACCTTAATGTTCTCCTCCTCACCTCAATATTCTCCCTCTCACCTCAATAAGTTACCCCTCACCTTAATATACTTCTGCTCACCTTAACATGCTTCCCCTCACCTTAATGTACTTCCCTCACCTCAAAATACTTCCCCTCACCTCAACATACTTCCCCTCACCTTAATATACTTCCCCTCACCTCGATATGCTTCCCCTCACCTCAATATACTTCCCCCTCAATATACTTCCCCTCACCTTAATAATATACTTCCCTCACCACAATATACTTCCCCTCACCTCAATAAGTTACCCCTCACCTTAATAAACTTCCCCTCACCTCGATATACTTCCCCTCACCTTAATATACTTCCCCTCACCTTAATATACTTCCCCTCACCTCAATATACTTCCCCTCACCTTAATATGCTCCTCCTTCGAATGGCCCAGCACGATCACAGCTCGCCTTATCTCCTCGAAAGTCGTGTCCACCTGAATACCGGCTTTGAAGTGCTGGGGGAGCGTGGCCACCTGACCCTCCACCCGAGCTTCCTGTCCGGGCCACATCACGACCAGCTGTGGAGAGAGAGGAGGACGTAGGAGGGGGAAAGGGGGAAAGGGGGAAGGGTGGTGTTATCAATTTTGATGCGGTGTGTGATTTGCGGAGTGAGGAAATGTGGGTAGGAGTTGGGGAGAAGGCTTTATAACTAGCGGTGGTGAAGTATTGTTATGGTATTGCCTTTTTCGTTATTGCTTTTTTATGATAATCATTATTATCAATATTCTATTTAATATTATTATTATCATCATCATTATTATTATCACCATTATCAATCAGCATCATTACTATTCTTACTATCATTATCGTTATCATTATTATCATCATCATTATCAATATTGTCATTATCGTTATTCTTTTCACCATTATTATCAGCATTATCATTATACTTATCTTTATCATCACTACCATTACCATTATCATTATCATTATCACTACCATTACCAATATTGTTATTATCACCATTATCATTATCACTAACATCACTAATATCATCAATCATTTCCAATCATTACTATATGTTAAAGTAATACAAAAAAGATAGAGACCTTCTTGTGAAATTGAGAAATTATTATCCTACCGAAAGTTTTTCCTCGACATCAAGTGGGTCGTGATACACCCTAATATTGGCCTTCACAAAATCCTCATGCTGTAGAGAGGTCACGGTCAGGTTGCCTCGTAAGTAGTCCAGACCGCTGTAGGCCTCTCCTGAAATTACAGTGTAGGTGTTTAGTAATTTTCAAGGGGCTTTTCATGGATGAGTGTTTTTTTTACTGTTGGTACGGTTTGTTTGGCTTATTTTTCTTTTATTTTATTTTTTTCTTTCTTTCTTCGAAATATGTTAAGGTAGAGATAAAGATAGGGTGTTACGAGTGTAAGAAAGTATTAGTGAATAGGTGTAATACACTCAAATGCGTACAGACGTCACTTGATTATTCATTTTTGGTGAGCAAGAGTAAAGGTTTAAAACGTTTTTATCAGCATAAAAAAAACATGTGAATGATCAGATGGGGAGGTTGTGAACGCCGAGGCTCTTTTGACTTGTGTGTCATCATTATTATCTTAATAAATATGCTGCTTGCAATTTATGTTACCATGTATTTTGATGTCTAATGGATATCATCGTCTATTTTGTTGTTCACACATTCACACATTAATCGAATAAAAGATTTAATAAAACGAAATGAAATAACAAATGAACCAAGAGATAATAAAAAAAAACAAAGAATGATTAAATGAACTAAATACATGAATAATAATGAAAAAATATCAGACAGGAAAAACAAACTCACGAGATAAAATAAAAGACGAAATTCCTCAGCACTTAACAACAGCCTTAAGGACGACCCTCACCTGTCAAACGTAGCTTATACTCATGTCCCTCCCACTTGGCCTTAGCGTGGGTGTCAATGGCAGACGGTAGGATGGCCAAGTCCAGGGCCGTTGACATGTCCCTGTATCCTTCGATGGTGGTCAAGACTTGGCCGAAGACAGAATACCGTAGTTGGTCGTAGTAGCTGTCATCTTTGCCCTCGAGTGCTAGTTCCAGTCTGTCTGTGTCCCACTGTAAGGAGTATTGGTGAAGAGAAGTTAAAACAGGAGAGTTCTTTGCGTCAACCGATAGAAGAGAGCAGTGATATTAGCGAGAGTGGTAAGAGGAATTTAGTAGGTAGATAAGTAGATGTATAAAGCAAATAGCTGTTACCTGTCATATGAGTTTATCTCATTAATATTTCCACCTTAACATTACCCACACTCAAGAATAGAAATAAAAAAATCCCACAGACTCAGGCACCTGTATGTAAATATTTGTATCAATGATCCCTGGCGTCTTCTCGAGCCTGATGCCGGTGCTGGCGCTGACCAAACCCTCGAAAGACGAGCTCACGTCCAGCTTGGTCTCGATCCTGAAGGTGGAGGCGTCGATCGTCTTCTTCGCTAGCAGCTGGAGGTCGAGGAACTCCCCGTCGTGCCAGCGGGACCGGAGGCTGCTCTCAATGTGGTCCATATCGCGGGCGTATCTGCGCGTCGGGAGAGGAAGGGGCATTTTTTGGTGATTTTTTGCATATCTTTTAATTTGTATATATACATGGGGTCAGGAAAGGCTGGAGCATTTTTTGGTTTTCCGTTTTTTTTTTTTTTATTTATTTATTTATTTATTTTTTTTTTATTTTATTTTTTTGAGGACTGTTGACTTTATTTTTGTATATCTAACTTGGGACTTTTTCGTCTATTTCGTTTTTAGAATTAATTAAATATCATCCTTACATACCAACGTACATATGAACAATTTGAAAACAATCCCCAGACCTGCTTTCCGTCCTTAATTTACCTAATTTACTTAATAAAAACCTTAATAAAAACAAAATCTAAAGAAAAATATACAGAACCTTAAAAAACTCACGAAAAAAGATTCAGAACATAAAGAAAAATACGGAACCTTAAATAAATAAGTCCCGAAGAATGTTAAAAAAACTACTCACCAAAAAATTTGAACCTTAAAAAGATTACACGAAAAAATATAGAACCTAACAAAAATAATCTCACGAAAAAATGCAAAACCCTAAAAAAACAGAACCTAAAGAAAAATCATGAATAACCTTCAAAAAACTACTCACTTGACCTCAAGATAATTCTGCTTCCAGTGTATAAAAGGCGTCGTGATGTCCACTTTGCCGTACAACTCCGCAGTGTCTCCACGTCGGAACCTGATGGTGAAGTTCGTGGCAATCTCCTGCACCCGGCGGTTTGGTTCCATCCAGCTGAGAGATCCCTCGTTTTTGTGCTCCCATATCATGTCGCGGTCGATGTACTGTACTGTTCGTCGTGATACGTAAAGGAGGTAGATTGTGAGTATTGCAAAAGGGCTCCCAGGTCGCTTGGAGGGGTGGGTGAACGGGAGAGGAGAAGAGGAAGAGGAGGAAGATTGGTAGCTGAAAGGGGAGGTGTGAAGGGAGGGAGAGGAGGGTGGTGACTGAAGGGGGAGGGGTGAAAGGGAGAGTAGAGGAAGAGAGGAGGGTTGGTAGCTGAAAGGGAAGAGGAGAAGAGGAAGAGAGGAGGGTTGGCAGCTTAAGGGGAGGTGTGAGAGAGAGAGAGAGAGGACGAGAAAGAGGAGGGTGGTGATTGAAGGGGAGGAGTGAAGAGGGAGAAAAGGATGAGAGAGAAGAGGGAGAGCGGAGGTAGGCAATTATAGGGAATAAGTGAAGGAGGGGAAGAAAAAGAGAAAAAATACGGGTAGTAATCAAAGAGAAAGAGTCAAGAGAGAGAATCAAGAGAAAAGGAAAAAGAAAGAGAAAAAAATGGCAAAATATCAGAACAACATGAACTTCACATAACTAGAGAGAAGAAAACATTACAAACCAGATCAGATTAAAACAATAACACGCATTCAGATCAGATTAAAACAATAACACGCATTCTTACATAGCTTATTGGTCCTCCAGTTAGCACGGTACTGCTGGCCCAGGAAGCTTAGCACGCTGTCCAATAATATCGTCACTTGTCTATCACTGGGTGTCTCGTACCTGACCTCGATGTCCAGTTTTTGGTTGGGATCCCTAAACCATACATGGGAAAATGGAAGATCATGAGATAAAGGTACTTAATCGTGGAGAAAATATTACGAAAATCGACGTGTCTATTTGTCAAATTGGCCAATGTTGCTTAGAAGAAATAATGGAAGATCGTGAGATAAAAGTACTCAATCGAGGAGAAATAATTAGAAAATCGACGTTGCAAATTTACCATATTA